GCAAACAACGTTACATAATGTGTGACCTCACCCAACATCAACGACATCAACAGTTAATGCATGTAACGTGACGTCACTCAACAATGATGACGTCAACAATTTATGCATGTGGCTATTAATAGGCTGTGTTGAAATGATTAGATGAACGATTGACTTTTAAATAAGAAGATGAATGAACCACCAAACAACCCAAACAACACATCTATACAGGCATACACACAATATAAAAACAAACAAACACTCGCATATATTCTCACGTACACAGATACGTACATACCCACTCATATACATTCGCACATACGTACATACATAAATACGCACGCGCACACACACACGCTCACACGCATACATATATGCATTTAAACACACACACACATGTACCAGCATACATATTTATTCTTCATGACTTGAACGAAGCGTTTAAGTTAAGTTAATGGTGGTCTAGACAACAATATAAACCTTATAAAAACTTTCAAAATAAAAACAACAATAATAATAGGAAAATTACAATAATAAAAATAATAATAATAAATTATTAAGAAAGTTAGCAAACAATACTATGAAAGGAATAAAAGCAGTTGAGAAATAGAACGAGCTTAAATTTAAACAATTACATAAGAAGAATGATTAAATTAACAATGGATGACACAACTCACCTCACTACTACACAACATACGTATGCTAAAATACTCTCGCATAACTTCCCGTATATGTACGTGTGTACAGTGTACACACATGCGTTGTACACATGTCAAAACATCGATACACTCCCATACAAACATTTACATGAACAAACTAACAAACAAACAAACAAAATCACACATTTGCTAGACAAGCAAGCAAAATAACATGCCTACTGCCTCACCTCAACACTACACAACTTTATTAAGGGAGTTTATAACTTTCACGTACAATCAATCATTCACTCGACCAACCAACTAAACGATCAATTAATCCAATCAATCAATCAATCAATCAATCAATCAATCAATCAATCAATCAGTCAATCAGTCAATTAATCAGTCAATCAATCAGTCAAACAATCAAATGATTGAACAATAATTATATCAACATTGAATTAAAATCATGTACTCCCGCGATCATAATATTATCAACTGAATTCATCTCTCGAATATTCCATTATTACAATCTAAGCTGTTCATTTTGCACGTTAGCAGGATGACTTTCTGTCTCGAATCCGCCTGCGAATATTTCAATAACGTCATCTGCCATGTTATCATTTCGAAGTTATTATGACGATCATATCATAACAATAATAATAATTATTATTAATATTATTATTTTCATTTTAAGTTATAACGATGATGGTGATTATGATGATGATGGAGATGATGATGATGATGGTAGTAATGATGACGATGATGATGATGGTGGTGGTGGTGATGACGATGGATAGAGTAATTTGAAATAATGGATATTTTAATAATGATAACAACGTCATATATGTTACCTTTCTTTTCATCGCCATCACGTGATGATATCGTCACGTGACGATATCATCTTTCAACGTGCGTAATGCATCAAGTTGTTTGATATGGAAATATGTAGACGCTTTTTGCGGGAGGGAGAGAAAGAAAGAGAGAGAGAGAAAGAGAGGGAGAAGAGCAAGGTCATCATTCTTTTTCGCATGTTTATGTTTACATTGCTGGCTCTCAATGTATTCTATTATTTTATGAATGAGAACATGTGTTTAGTTGGAAGGAGGAGCCGCAAATTTGAAGGAACCAATGAGAGAAGAGTTTAATATTACTCATTATTCAGATTTGCATATTCATGAGATAGTTTTGTATATATAAGTATGTGTATGAGCGTTGTTGTACATCGAATTTGTAATGCCTGTGTGTTTTGTTTGTACACCTACCCGTCGTACTTTCAAATTCTCAACTTTGAGATTTGAAATATTTTAGTTTTTTTTTAATATCAATTGATCTTTTTATTTAATTTGTTCGATATACATTAAAATTAAGTAACTTTTCAATTTAACTTTTTATACCAGTTGTTTTTCAACATACATACATTAATTAATTAATTCATTCATTTTATTTATATTGAAAAAAAACTAATTAGATCTTCCATCTGCTAATACCAGTTTAATGTTTCTGTCGATTGGAGTAAATAAGCAGATTAATTGGTTGGCCAACTTGTTGGATAGCAGTTAATTTGTTTAGTTAGTTCAGTCAGTTTGTTGGTTGGTTGGCTGGTCGGTCGGTCGGTCGGTTGAAGTTGAAAGGCATGGGCAACATTGAACTAAAACCTTCAAAAGTTTGTTTAGTTATTTAATATTTTTGTTACAATCATAAATGTTGCCACAAATTTAACGTGAAGTGTAGTATAACTTATGAAATGCGCCTTCCTTATTTTATTCATTATCGTGATTCGTCAAAATTTTTCGGGGTTGCTGGTTCCATAGTTCCTTTGTTAATTTTTTATTTCAAATATTTCATTGTTATCGGGCTCGGCAATTTTCTTTTCCATTTCATACATTTTTTATTATTAACCTGCGTTACTACCAACCAATAAATCTCACAAATGTGTGTGTATGTGTAATTATATAATTATGAGTTACTCACTGTGGCGTACAACCAAATAAACAAACACATATTTATATGTGTATACATACATGCATGCATACATACAAACACACATATATGCATAAATAAATACAAACATAAATACGTACCAACACACAAAGGAGCATACAAACAAACATACATACATGAATGCCTACATTTACTGTAAATATGTACAACATGCTTGGCTTTATGCCTTGATTATGCATGTTATATGAACCTACATATCACTTGATATTTTTAGCACCGAGAACAATTCTTTCAATGCTTTCCCAGTTTTAATTGCACAAATGTTTTCATTTAACTACTCCCTGATTGTTTGTTCACTTTTGAAATTTTCTGAAAGTTTGAAAATTTTTAAAATTTGAGGTTTTCGCTAACTGATGCGACCTCTTTTCAAAAACAGACAGCGAAGAATGCTGATGAAATGACAATGTCAACACAAAACGTGTTTGGAATTTTTAAACTGGTTTTCTGTGACGCATTCATTAAAGATAAACAAACTTGCCAGTTTTTCCAATGTGGATGTGCATAGATTGCAAAATTAATTGGAAATGTGCCGTGAGGTGTTGGGTAATTGAGGAGTTTGAGATCGAATTCATTTTTAACCGAGTCAACTAAACTTTCAATTAATTTGTTAACTTTTTGTTTTAAATCTAACAAGCTAGTGCAAATATGTTCCACTCATCCCTAATTTGTTTTCGTTGGTTTTAACATTTTTTTGCACTTATGTCATCACCATCATCATCTGATTTTTAACTGATAACTTATCTTAATGAAAATAATATTCATTTGGTTGTTTTGTACACATGTACGAACAAACCTATGCTTACTTGCTTGCGTGCGTGTGTGTGAGTGTGTGTTCTATATGTGTGCGTGTGTGTGTGTGTGCGTGTGTGTGTGTGTGTGTTATGTTTGTCCTTGTGTAGATACGAGCAAAACGTAATATATATATGTGTGTTTGTTTACACTATGTTATATAATTGCACTGAACATCTAATTATCTCAACCACTATCTATTCAGCTAGCTACTATCATATCATCATCAACACCGCCTACATCATCATCAGTGTTATTATGATGATGACGTAAAATGGTGATCATTTTAAAATAAAATTTGCATAACTGTCATCATTAATTGCGTCATCACTACCGAAATCATCATCAGCACCTTCATCATCATCATCATCAGCAGCACCTTCATCATCATCAGCAGCAGCAGCACCTTCATCATCATAATCATCATCAGCAGCACCTTCATCACCAGAATCATCATCATCATTAAAATCATCATCATCATTAAAATCATCATCATCCATCATTAAAATCATCTTCGTTAAAACCATAAGTACCCCATCATCATCGTCGTCATCTTCATCACCATCACAGTGAAGTTAATTACTTTTGCTTCATTAGATCTTGTAATGTAGATACATGACGATGTATAATTATAGGTTCGTGTCTATGTATATGTGTGTAATATTTGTGTGTGTGTATGTGTGTATGTAAGTGTATGTATGTTTGTGTGTATGTATCATTGTGTGTATGTATGTGTGCATATGTATGTGTGTTTATGTTCTTGTGTATGTGCATATGTATGTGTGCGTACACGCGGGGGCCTGTTGATCGGACAAAAAATAACTTAATGTGATTTTACTACTCTTATTTTTGTAATTATTATTATTATTATTATTATTATTATTATTATTGTTGTTATTATTATTGTTGTTGTTGTTGTTATAATTAATATTTGTTGATGTTGTTTTTGTTCTTATGATTAATATTTGTTGTTGTGTTTGTTGTTATGAATAATATTGTTGTTGTTATAATTACTATTTGTTGTTGTTTCACGTTAGGATTGACTGTTGTTGTTGTGGTTGTTGCTGCTGTTGTTGCTGTTTTTGTTGTTGTTGATATGATCTGACCTTGTGCATGTTGTTGTTGCTGCTTATCAGCACTGCACGATCGTAGAGTCTGAACGTAAGAACGGCTGCAACAACCTCAAACTCATTCAGCGATATGGAAATAAAAATATAATTAAACACTGGCGATGAGGTGATGATGACTATTGATAATAGAATTAATAATAATAACAACAACAATAATAATAATAATAACAGTACGTAAAATATCGACAAGATAGGAACCGTTACTCCTTTTAAATATAACTTTCCATGTAGAACTTCAAAGCTCCATCGAATTGTACCGCACTGTGGATCTCTCCCACACTTAATAAAAATATGGAAAACAGCAATAAGAAATGGGAAAATTTAATCGTAGCATATACGGAACATTATGTATACACTGTTGTTGTTATTATAACTATTTTTATTATTGTTGTTATTATTATTATTATCATTTTCCTCAGCCACTTCGCTGGTATCTACCTGAGTCCTGAGGTGTGGGATTTTAGTTCCCTGCTGTTAGAAACTTGTGAAGTATGTGGGCAGTACAGAGTAGGGCCATCTTCTGCTCTTGTGCAACACTTTCCTTTCCAGGTAGTTCATCGAGATATTTCTGCAGCCCCTGACGTACTGTTTGTTCGCAATGCACCAACTACTATTGGGATCACGCGTGTTTTTGTGTTCCACATACGTGAAATCTCCATCTATCTCAAGGTCTTTTTATTTGCTTAGTTGTTCAACTTCCTTTGCAGCAACATTCGTGTCATTGGTGCCAGCAGCATCGATAAGGAGGCATTTTTGTTACTTCTATCTTGGAGTATGATATCTGGCCGGTTAGCCCCAACACTACGGTCGGCGTTTATAGCCATGTCGTACATGAGTGCTGTATTGTCAAACTCGACAACCTTTTCAGGCTGGTGATCGTACCAGCGGTCAGGTACATTTTGACCAGGTTCTTTCAGGGTTGACCAATGTAGACAATTAGCGATCCTATTGTGTCGATGCGTATATTCTTTTGGCGCTAGTATTGGGCATGAGGCCACAATGTGGTTGACATGCTCCTTAGTGGTTCAATGCTTGATCTTGAGCCGCTATAAGGAGACTTTCTGTTTCACCTTTGAGTCCAGAGCTTTATAGCCATCTAAATGTCTGTCTGTACATTTATAAACGGAAATTTTCGTTATTATTTAAAATATTTTGCACTGACGATAATATATTTTATATCGAAAAAGCTTTCTGCAATTATTTATTTTAATAAACATGAACAATAATAATTTTAGTTTTTTACTTAATAAATTAAATATCTATAATAAAATTTTAATTAGAAAACTTGAAAAATTAATGTATAAATATAATAATTGTATTAACGCGATTGATTTTCTTAAAAACATACATATATACACATATACATACACACATACATACATTTATACATACACACATACATACATTTATACATACACACATACATACATATATGCATGCTAGCAAACATACATATATACATACATACATAGTTAAATACATACATACATACACACATACATAGATACATACATACATACATAGATACACACATACATACACACATACATAATACATACATACACAGTTTCAACGAACCAGGCTCGTACTTCACAAAAACTTCAACAAAAATGATTGATGAATAATTCACGTACAAGTTTAATATTGGTGAATTAATTTTAACCGAAACCCATTGTTACTCAAATTTTTATCACTCAATTCAACAAATCAATTAGCTATTTAATTTATTTGAATTGAAAAAACAACAAAAATCCAATTTGGCCACTAAATCGAATTTTAATCAACAATGTTATTACAAAACCATTATCTCTGACACCGTATTAATCAATCAATCAATAATCAATCAATTATTCATTCATTCATTCAATCAATCAATCAACGAGCCAACCATTTAATTATTCATCCAATCAATGATTAATCACCAATCACCTAATTGACTGATTGAAGTTCAACCATTTAACATACATGCGTTCTTTGAAGCACAAGTATCTAGTGCAATATATTTTGTATCTTTCTTTCTTCTTGATTATGTTGTTTATGTTTCAATTTTTGTTTATGATAACGTGCCATGTTTATGTTTAAGATCTGGGATCTCTTGTTTGAGTATACAAGCTCGTAATAAATTAAAAGTACATACCTTTTGAACGATATGCGTGTGCATGTGCGTGTGCATGTTTGTTTGTCCGTTGCAGGATTTACAGGATTGTTGTAAAAATTTGTAACAAATAAATTCATCAAGTTTTGTCTATTCTAAGCCTGTACCTGAATTCGGCTCCGACCATTTTTTCAAATCCGGATTAAATCAGGCTCTGGCTTAAATTGGGGGAAGCTGGATTTTGAATTTGTGCCAGATTTCTAATTTCAAAGTTGTCCAGATTTTATAGACCGGCACAACCCTAGTTTATTCTTCTCGCATTTAATAGATCGGGACCGGGTTATATACACACACGCACGCATATAAACGTCTGATCGTTACCAACACGAACGACGCCTTAATGCATACTTCATTAACAATAATGAAGTGACACCAAAAATGAGGATGAAGAAAGTGACGCTAATTAATTCAACTACCTTTCCTTCGTTTAAGAAGCTATATAAGCTAAAGCTTCACTGAAGATGATTTGTGAGAAATTGAAATTGGCCTAGTTGCAGGGTGAATTTGGATAATAATTTTATTTCGAAGTTAGATAAATTAAACATTTTCCAGAAATTTTTAGTAAGAAAAGTTGAAAAGGCAAACTTTAAATTGATCAATGCTAACAATTTGGTAGAATTCATACAAAATTGTTTTTATTGTTTTAGAAATAAATATAAATATGTGCGTGCGTGTGTGTGCGCGTGCTCGTATGTGTGTTTATATCTATATAATGCATATTATACACGTACACATGACCACTGCCACTTAGCTACCAAATGTGGTTACGTTGGATCCAAGCGCAACTATCCTAATTTAATAATGATAATTATTAGCCGCCAAATAATTTGATTCGCAGAAGGCATGCCAGTCCTAATTAGAATAATGACGTCAGTAAAAGCCGCGATGACGTAATAGATGTGTTTCCGGCGGACGATAGTGGTGTGTGGTGGCGTTTTTTGGCACGTGGCATGTCACGTGATCATTTTGATGAGCGAGTTGGCATTTTATGCGTCACCATTTTGTCTTCATCATCTTCTGGATCATCTCTTCGCCAGCTTCCAGATGAGAATAACAATCACCATCATACTCATCGTTAACGTCGGCAGGTTCATCATTTTGTGACCACCATAGTCATTTTATAAACTATATTGTCTGTTATTATTTCATCACTACCATCATTATTGCCTCATGCCATCATCATCATTATCATCGCCTTGCTTCCGTCATCATCATCATCATCATAACCACCATCATAATCATCATCATCACGATAATCACCACCGAATCATCGTCGTCATTTTCATCCCTCCTTCATAATGACGTCAAAGTCATCACCATTACCATCAGACCACCAACATCAAAGCATGACATGCCACAGGTCACAACACTGAGCTACGTATGATGTCATTTTTAATTAATCTCCGTCGCTTCATAAGGAGTAGCAGTTGTGGTAGTTGTGGTTGTAGTATTAGTAGTAGCTGCAGTAGCAGCTGTGGAAGGGTGGTTTATTAGTATGGATGAAGTTGTATTGGCATTTATATTTGTTCCCATCATTACAAACAAGGCACATTACAACACCGTTTTGGGAGCTACAATGCTTGTTCACGTTCTGATGAGGAGTTTGTTTGCCGACCGGCTCAGTATAACGTACAAGAAATACGAATTTATTCAGTTAATAAGCGGCCAAGCATCAACGACTTTTGCCAACGAGCTGCCGTCCATCGCCGTTCTCAATAATTACTGCAACACAATTTCGTTTGTTTTATAAAATTTTCTGAATGGCAGTTTGGTTTCGATTGAAAAATTCATCGCTTCTCTACTGTTTCGGTGGTTCTTGAACTCGTTGAATGCTGACCGCTTGATTGATTATTTAAATATGTACTCATTTATTTGTTCATTCAATAAATTATTATTTTATTTATCTATTTATATATATTTATTTATTCATTTATTCATTCATTTATTCATTCGTTCATTCATTCATTCATTCATTCATTCATTCATTCATTCATTCATTCATTCATTCATTCATTCATTCATTCATTTTATTCATTCATTCAGAATCCTTCCCTAAACAAGCAGTCCATGGATTCTTCGGCCTGCCACGAAAATCCAAATGTTGTGAGAGTTCTTAAGGTACGTGATGAACGTGTGTGTGTGTGTGTGTGTGTGTGTGTGTGTGTGTATGTGTGTGTGTGTGTGTGTGTGTGTGTGTTAATAATCTATTTTTTGTACACCATTACAACAATAACAATATGCGTATATTTATGTTATATTAGCCTGTGTGTGTATGTGTGTGTGTGTGCGTGCGCGCGTGCACATACAACTTTCAAGACGTTTGTATTTACGATAATGCTTCATGCATTGATGCGCCTAATTTGTTGTGCGCGCCAGTCCGCGTGCAACATGCTCGCATGCAATTTGATGGGCGTTTGTGTGAAGAGAATGTGAATGTGCGAGTGCATGCTGGTACAAACATGCTCATTGCGATAGTGGTGTGGGGTACATTATCTGCGTATCACTAAATTCAATTAGAGGCAAATGCATCAGATCACATTTCATTTCACGTGTGTGAGCTTGTTGGCATGTCGGGAAACTTTTTTGTGTTGTCGTTCTGTTGTTGTTTATCGTTGCTGGTGTGTCATATTTGTGCGAGTGCATGCATGTTGTACGTGCGGTCTAAGTTACTTGAAGTGTGGATAAATTTGTTAGTGGGTTTATGCAAGTATGCATGTGTTTGTGTTTGTGTGTATGTGTTGTTTGCATGGATTGAACACAGTTGCTGTTTGGTTTTAGGTCCAGGCACTGAAAAACATGTAAATTATATATAAGATTAGTTCATCTCTATTTCAGTTGAACAACAACTTTATAGACATTTCTCACCTTTTTTTTAAATTTTTAAAGTTATTTTTCAATTTTTTAACTTTTGAAATGATTTTCATATATTTTAAACTTTCATCGTGACAATATTTTTTATACTACTGCTATTATTTTCGTTGTTCAAGTATTAAAAAAAACATACTAAAATTTTTTTATTCAAACCTTGAATTACTCTGTGCTACTTGTATGTATATTATTTTTGTATGCATGTTATATTTACATGTATGTATGTATGTATGTATGTATGTATGTATATTATTTTTGTATGCATGTTATATTTACATGTATGTATGTATGTATGTATGTATGTATGTATGTATGTATGTATGTATGTATGTATGTATGTATGTATGTATGTATGTATGTATGTATGTATGTATGTATGTATGTATGTATGTATGTATGTATGTATGTATGTATGTATGTATGTATGTATGTATGTATGTATGTATGTATGTATGTATGTATGTATGTATGTATGTATGTATGTATGTATGTATGTATGTATGTATGTATCTATGTATGTATGTATGTATGTATGTATGTATGTAAGTATGTATGTATGTATGTATGTATGTATGTATGTATGTAT